TAAATCTTTATAATACTCCCAGCTTAAGTATAATATGTGAAAGCAATTCCTTACTTTAACAGCGGTACTGCGGTAGGTATAGGTATTTAGGTTATTTTGCTCTAATATGCACTCAATAAACATATACTATAAATAAAGTATGCTTAACCTATGCAAAAAATATTGTTTGCCATGGCTCGTAATGTATTGTAATATTCATGTAGGTATTTTACAATAGAAAATTGAAAATCAGATGGGATACCTTATGAATTTTATTTATAGATCAACGAAAATATTTAACTATATTATGAATACTAGAAAATATTTAGAATTCCCATGACACATATAATTCATTTTTTGTGTAAATTTACTATATTTTTAGAAGCCATTATACCTTTCCACCTAAACTGAAATACTAATAATTGAAGACAAATTAACATTACCGGAATTTTCGCATCGGATAATCACTAAACTATATATTTTTTATGAAGTAGTAAATTTGACATGGGCTCTCTAAATTTACATATAAACGTGAGTAAAACCCGTCTGCTGAGAATAAAAAGGTTCTATGTCAAAATATTTAATTTTTCAGGAGAGCATTTTTAAGGTTTGTTATCAAATTTATTTTAACATATAGGGATAATTGTTTATAATTGATATCAAAAAATCAAGCAGGTTTTCTTTAACAATATAACATGAAAATATAGCATCTCACTATTTTAGTAAATTATTTAAAAATAAAAAACAACAAAAAAACACTTTGGAGTAAAAAGGTTCTATACAAAGGACTATTTTACTCGCTAAATAGTTTTTATTTAATAGATAGAACCTATTTACCCTATACTCTATAGCATATTACACAATTGTCACCAGTCAGGCCAACATAATATGATATAATTTTATCTTAAACGTCAATCATTAATATTTTATTAAAACACTTTTCATTTAAATTATTCTAAAAAATTCATAAAAATAAAATAAAATAGAATCAAAATTCAAAACACTATTTTTTTAACTTATAAGATACTGAGCTACGTAATTCTAAGAATAATTTGTGTTTGCTCCCGGATGAGTTCGACACATTATTTCACCACTCCGCCACCGACCCACACACACACGAACACATGCATTTACCGTTTATTTCTTTATGTTAATTTTGTCTCGTGTGAATTATTATATAATATATAAATCATAAATGTATAAGAGCGTTATCGCATGCCGCCGCATCGACTGCGCAATCCTACCCGATTACGGCCGTCTCCAGTTTTAGTTTTCGCATACCGGTATCAACGGATACACCTCTTATTTTTCTAGTGTGCAGGTCGCGCTCAAAGCATTACAATATCGTGGGGGTGAATCACTAAATAGTGTACGTTATTGTACGGCGCGAATCGTCAGTGTTTGTTGTTATTTTTTATATTATTATTGTGAAGGCGCGAATCGTCAAAATTATTATTATTGTGAAGGTGTGAATCTCCAAATTTATTATCATTGTCAAGGCGCATATCACCAGTGTTATTATTATTGTCAAGACGCATATCGCCAGTGTATATTATATCAATCTAATATACATTACTATTATATAGCATAGGTGCAGCTAGCAAGCAGAACACCGACAAATTTGTGAGTTTTTATACATATATTATTAAACTTCTCTGTCTAATGTCAAAGCCCATGTTCTGATTAATATTATTATTTTATTATTATGTTGCTGTGCATATTATTATCTATTTTGGCGTTTTATCATTAATACAGCAATAGATGATAAACCGTGTTATTATTTTTTATTATTGATTTAAGCACAAACACCACATATATATGTTACCGGAAGTGTTGACATTTAGGAAATGATGATAATTCCTAGTAAATATTGACAATTCCTAAAATCGTAAGGAAATGATATCATCGCCAAGTATATGTTATCATTTCCTAACGATAGTAGGCTAAGATGCCACATTTTTGAAATTTAATCTGACTTATTTAAATATTACTTTTATCAAACATAATTATTAATTAATCTACTATCACCTTAATAAATAATCAATAAATAAACAAGTATTTTTTTAACATTTTAATTTATGTAATTTAAGCTTCCTAAAAATTGTTTACGATTTGCAACGTAGTTACTCATGTTTATTTTCGCATGTCAAACTTCCATGACATTTAGAACTACAAATTCTAGATGCCGATGATCTGCAAGCACACCTGTTCATCCTGCATTTTGTCTTACATTGATATCGGATATATCCTTGTGCCCCTGAACTACTCAGACGTACCTACTGTAGTTCCAACACTAAGTTCATCATATTTTCTATTGGATGTTTTAACCATTTTTAGTGCCTGTTTTTCTAAATTGTGTGCAGATGATTGACGTGCCATCAAGTATATTTTGTTTTCGTTGATCAACTAAATAAATACATTATTAACTTAAACATATTAAACTATATTCCATTTTTTTTTTACCAAATTCTAAGTCACTAGTGACTTGTTCTAAGTTACTAGTACACGGTACATTTTCTTCGGCTCCCTCGTCTTTGTTTGACTTCAAAATACATTCAATATCTTCCTCAGATTTCAAAGAGCTAATTTCTTCTATCGGTAAACCAACTGATGCAACACCTAAACGAGCTGGACAACCAAACATCGCCTCATAACGTATTCTTCATTATTCACGAACGATTTGTTGTCATCACGTTTAGCATCAATAATTCATGAAATTGCTTTATTAAATTCATTTTGCCTTTTTTTTTAAATCCATTTTTAAGCTTTTAACAAAATAAATACGTACTGCACTACTAATAACCTACTACTAAACGGATCGTGTTGAATGTACAGTTTATATATTAAACAATTAAACAGATAAATACTGCGATATGCGATATCTATGACATTTTTCAATTAACCATTTTATCGATATCAGTCATTTCCCCTCCTGATATTTTTAGATCTCGGAAAATATTGACTGCAGTTGACACCAAACTTACTATTTTATGCCAGGGACACACATACGTGTTTAAAATCGGTTATTACAATCGACATAAACCCGTGTTTGATATAATTTCATGTCTCCGTACAGATATATAAAATAATTTTACCCGTGTGTCTCCGTTTCTTATTTAATTTGAGTTCGACAGCATTATTAGTTCGATAGTGTCTACTATAGAGAGTGTAAAGGACTATAATATAAAGTTGTATTTAATTAATTTATAATGATTATAATTTGTATTGAAACAATATTTAATCAATTTTTACAGTGAAATATACATTTTTAATATCATTTAAAAAAAAAATAAATTAATAAATGTCATTTTATGCATTTTTTTATATATATATTTAGATCATAAAATTCCGGGCCCTAGTGATAACATTGCCTAATAAACTACGGAAATTATGACAATTCCTAGGCGGTGATAACATTGCCCGCTTTTAGGAATTGTCAACATTTACTAGGAATTGTCGTCATTTCCTAAATTGGCAACATTTCCGGTAACATATACACACATACACACACACTAGCATTCGATAGTCTTGCTCCACGAACCCGTCCACCTCTATCGAATAGCTAATTGTAATACCTACATGCACGTCATATAACACGCAGATCGGTCGGTGCGCACGGAGTATTTTGGTGATCGGGCATCACGAACGATATTAGTGTAATGTACCTCACAAATTTTACTTTCGATCACATCCGCAGTCTTGGACAATCCACCTTGGCTACCGGCTCAACCTCAAAAACCATAACCTTCTTATGTTCTAACTCAAACTAGATACAATCATACACCGCATCTCACTCAACTCGTCATAGGCAAACGCCTATGAGCACCGATGTCCCGTCATAGGCACATCGAGGTCACACAAGCAATACAACGAAATGCACCGACACTTGCAGTTTTCTTTCAACATTCAAACCTACAACAACTAGAAGGAACGAAGACCCGAAAACCTGAAGATCCCAACGACCCACGAAGCCTTTACAGATCGCCGACAACCAGCAGAATAACTTGGATGACGAACGCCGACCGCAATTCGACACAAGTCCGAACTGCTCAAGACCGCCGCCATATAGTCACCAATCATCGACCACCTCACACAACCAGCAGCAAGAGCCCCGCGGTAACGCGCTGTCGAATAATACGACATTTCCATACTCCCAGAGGACCAGAGTCGCAGGAAGCAGCCCGCTACGTCGTGCACGGTGAATCAGCCGCACACACGCAGTCTCGACTATAAAATCTGCTTTTAATCATCTACCCACTTAAGCAAAAAACTTTATAATATGATAATACGGGACAAACAATAATAATTGTAGACGACCTAGCCCGCTAAAAATACTGGATGAACTAAACATATAATATGAGGTATACAACAAATAGTTCGTTAACTGAACACGATTTTTGACACTAGTTGTCCCATATAGTCGTATAGAATGTGTCCGAGAAACAGGGTACCTACACTTCTTCACTCATAACCTCATAACTCACTGTCAATGCTAGAGTAGGTAAATTTACGGCGACCTCGATATTCGGACGGCGAATACCAAAGAAGGTAAAGCCTGAAATTAGTGACGTAACGCAGATTCATGGATTCTGCTATGCTTCAGAAGAAGCATTTGGGGCCAGCGTGTATGTGTGTTTGTGCGATAACAAGGGAAACTGGAACTCAAGAATTTTGTGTTCCAAGACACGAGTAGCGCCCTTAAGAAATATCACAATACCACGTCTTGAACTAAATGGCGCATTGCTACTGGCACAGTTGGTTCAAAAGGTAGCACAGTCATGGGAAATGACCTCTAAGTCCTTTAAGTTGTGGACTGACTCCACAATTGTGCTAGGATGGCTGAACAGCCAGAATATTCGTTTGAAAACTTACGTATCAAATTGAGTGACGTAAATGTTGGATCTGAGTGAAGCAGCGCAATGGAATCATGTAAGGTCAGAGGAAAACTCAGCTGATAAATGCTCAAGAGGCCTTAGACCACAGCAGATGCAGAACCCAGTCTTATGGTGGAATGGTCCTGATTAGCTATCAGCATTGGATGAAACTTGGAAAAACTCCTTATCACAGCCACTACATGAAGACAATCTGCCAGAACAACGCCCTCTCCAGGTGGCGTTAAGTACCATTGATGAATCAAGAGACCTAGTAACTAGATATTCAGACTGGCGAAGGCTAACACATGCTGTAGCATGGCTGAGACGGTTTGTGGAGTATTTACGACTTAAGAGAAAAGGGTCTTGGAGCCAGTATTTGCATGGAATTAGAGGAGGAATTGCATGAGGCGAAATAGGTATTAATAAAAAGATCGCAAACGGAAGCATTTGGAAAAGTTATGATAGCATTGAAAAATGGTATGGAGATCCCCCACAAAAGCAGACTCAGATCACTATGTCCATATATTGACAAAGGGATGATATTGGTGGGAGGACGCTTACAAAACGCAACTGTTTCTAATGAGTAAAAAAATACAATAGTACTGCCACCTAATAATTTAATTACAAGGTTAATCTACAAGGACTGTCATCATATAACGCTGCATTGTGGTCCACAGGCACTCCTAGCAGAAGTCAGAAGGACATATTGGCCAACGCGAGGTAGAGCAGTTGCACGATCAGTTGTTCGGCAGCGCGTCATATGCAAGAGGACAAGTCCCACGTTTGACCAGCCAATAATGGGCTCGCTTTCAAAGCAGCGCGTTTAGCACTCCCGGCCATTCACAACTACCGGTGTTCACTTTGCAGGGCCACTGATCATCAGAAGGGGAATCAGAGGAAGGCCAGGAAAAAAGGCATGGATCGCAATATTTGTCTGTTTCTCAACGAGAGCAGTCCACATTGAGGAAGTAGAAGATTTAACAAATAATGCTTTCTTAGCAGTGTTTAGAAGATTCATATCCAGAAGAGGAAAGCCAAACATGGTCTGGAGTGATAATGGAACGAATTTTATTGGAGCACGCAAGGAGCTAGCCGTTTATGTGAGCAAGGTTGATGGTTGTCTAGCATCAGATGGAATAAGTTGGAAGTTTAATCCAACCTCAGTGCCACACTTTGGCGGAATATGGGAAAGCGCAGTAAAAAGCTCCAAATTCCACCACACAAGGGTAGTAAAGGGCATCTCTTTAACCCTGAGTGAACTGCAAACATTATTATGCCAAATAGAGGCATGCATGAATTGTCGGCCCCTTACCTCCATGAGTAGCGACTACAATGACTTGGAACTAATTAAAAATGCATATTTCTTAATAGGAGGCCCGTTGATATTCCAAAAGATATAACAGCTTTAAGGTGAGGGAAGCTAGTTCAAGGGTTGCTTCAAAACTTCTGGAGCAGGTGGTAAGCGGCATATGTCCCACAGCTCCAAATACAGCAAAAATAGACGTCAGGATCGATTCCACTAGCCGTAATAATGTAGTAATTATCCAGGACGATAACTTAGCACCTACAAGATGAAAGATAGCACGAGTTGTGAAGGTACATCCTGGTAAGGATAACGTCGATCGGGTAGCTACTGTAAAATTGGCTAATGCTTCAGATCTAACCAGACCAGTTGTGAAACTATGATGCTTGACTATTGATCAAACTGACTAGGTTGAAAAAATTATTTTCAACGGGGGGAGGATGTCGCCGCTGCGACAGAATATGTGCTCTCCTAGGACCACCCCACACATTCACACACGCACACGGTCACTATCATCATTAATTATTTTTAAGATTATATTATAATATGTAGATTAGGCCTCGACGAGGTATCGTTCAGCACAGGCCACTTAGACAGTCCGTTCCGTAGTGTCTATGCAGAACGAGTGATTCGTAATGCACTAATCGCCGTAAAAATCGTATTATTGTAATTAGGCGTGAATTGAAAGTGCTTATACTTTTCTAGTAAGGCACTAATCGCCAACGTTATTATACATTGTTTTTTGTAAGGCGCTAATCGATAATGTTATTATATATTATTTTTTGCAAGGCATTTAATTGCCGGGATTGTTACTATTATTTTATTATTGTTGGCACGCACAATGTATGAGTCGTGTATGATTTCTATTATTCTTTATCTTTTTTCAATAAAATTGTATATATATTTTCATAGGTTTTTGGAGGTTACAGCTCAAGCATGTCAATCGCTCTAAATATATCAATATTACATTTTAATAAAGTCAAGGTTTGACCCCCCCCCCCAAATGATATATAAAATAGGTATAATTTTTGTTTTTTCTTCATTTCACAACGTATTAATTGTTAAAATTGTATCACATGCAACCTTTTTAAAACCTTTTGTACCATGTACATTTATTATTTCCGGGACTATTTAATCACAAATTTCCTATTGAATATATTTATATAAATGTTTTCAGTAATATTTAGAGGTTACAGCTCAAACATGTCAATACATCTAAATATATCAATATATTTTATAACTCATGGCTATTAGTTGCGCTTACCGTTGAAAAGTGTAAAACACTCTAAATTTGTTGAAATAATAGCCAAGATGATAATAAAAACGTTGTCACTTATTTTATGTTTCTCATTGTCTCTGTTGAAAGTGAAGCTTGACGGACTAATGATGTTAGCATTAATATAATAAGTAATAACACGACAATATGATTATGTATAAGTATAATATATAATAACGTACAACTGGACAATTAAACTGTGACAGTACACACACATCGTATACGCTCTGTACAACGACGCCTGTGCAAGTGAATATTACATACATCAAAGGCCCTATATATATGCACGACCAAGGTCATGTTACATCCGTAAAGAGAGTGAGTCTTATGCTCGTACATAACTAGTTACTATATTGTACACACGTGTCAAGGCTGACTACATATACTACATATTAATTGTATATTTCAACACCCTCCCTCAATTAATAATCTCTTTAATTGTAGTCACTCCTATGGCTGACCGCAACTTCTCGAATCGTTCCTTAACCAAAGGCTTGGTTAGAATGTTCGCAATCTGGTCCTCTGTTCCAATGTACTGTAGTTGGAATTGTCCCTCTTCGTATTTCTCCCGTATGAAGTGGTACCGTACGTCTATATGTTTTGTCCGTTTATGAAACTCCGGATTTTTCACTAAACGTATAGCACTCTGATTATCTATAAATAAAACTGGTTGTTTGTCACCTGTTGTTGATAAGCTTGTTATCAACCGTGTAATCCACAAGATCCCTTTGACAGCTTCACTGGCCGAAATATATTCAGCCTCTGTCGATGATAACGACACACAATGTTGTCTCTGCGATGTCCATGAAATTATGCTTGACCCGTACCTGAATAGAAATCCTGAAGTCGAACGTCGTGTCTGAATGTCGCCTGCGTAATCTGCATCGCTAAATATTTCTAATGACAATTTTATTTTGTTATTAAAGTACAAGCCATAATTAAATGTTCGCTTGATATATCGTATAATCCGTTTTACCAAGTTCCAATGAGCTTTAGTTGGTTTTGCTAAGTAACGACTAGCAAAGTTTACTGCATATGCTATATCTGGTCTTGTTACCTGTGATAAGAACAGTAAGCTACCTACTGCCTGCCTATAAGGAATATCTTCATTCAATATTTCCGTATCTTCTTTTTGTTCAAGTGTATGTGATTTGTCTATTGGTATTGAAAGTTCCTTGGCGTCCAGCATATTAAATTTATTAATTATGCTACATGCATAATTTGTCTGATGCACAAATAATGAACCATTTTTCATTATATTTACCTGCATACCTATGAAATAATCTAAGTTTCCTTTTTTAACCTCAAACTCTTTCTCCAAGTTCGTTAAAAGTTTCTCTATTATCTCTTCTTTATCTGCCGCGATTGAACCATCGTCAACAAATATTGCAAGAATAATTTGGCTGTTATCAGCTTTGAATACACATGCATCCGCTTCGGTACATTGTAAACCAAATGCATTCAAAAAGTTCTTAAAGCGTATATTCCAACATCTTGGACTTTGTTTTAAGCCATATAAACTACGCTGAAGCTTACATACTTTATTCGATCCATCTTCGTATCCTGGTGGTTGTACCATGTAAATTTCTTCCTGTAGTTCTCCGTACAGAAATGCTGTCTTGATGTCGAATTGTCGTAGTATTAATTTTTCCACAGCTGCTACTGCGAATATCGCCATAATTGATTCGTATCTGACCACTGGCGAAAATGTTTCATGGTAATCTATACCGTATTTCTGTGAACAACCTTTAATGACCAATCTGGCCTTAAACTTATCGATATTACCGTCACTTTTATATTTGGTTTTGAACACCCATGCGTTACGTAACGCAACCTTGCCCTGAGGCAAATTAACTAGTGACCAAGTGTTATTTTTGTGTAGTGATTTAATTTCATCATTCATAGCGTGCTCCCACTCGTTTTTCTGTGGGCCAGCTATCGCTTCATCACGATTTAGTGGTTCAACGAGATTGGCGACGAACGACGACACATTATACCTGATCGGCGCTTTTAATGTATTCCGATCACGTAGCACCATGCCACTCCTGTTGTCGACCGTCGTCAATTCGACCTTGACACGATCGTCCTCGACTTGAGTCTGAGTATCTGTGAATTCTAATTTGTCTGCAATTATATTTTCCAATTTATTACCTTCGTTTTCGAATATAATATCTCTAGATATTGAAATTCTATTTGTTTTCGAATAATACACACGATAACCTTTCGTGTTATCCGAATAGCCAACAAATATTCCTTTTTCACTTTTAGGGTCCCACTTTTTACGTTTTTGCTTTGGTATGTGTGTATATACGACAGTACCAAAAACTCGTAAGTGTTTAATGTCTGGCATTACCTTGTAATATAACTCGTATGGTGAGTTATTTTTAACTGAACTGGTTCCTGTTCGATTAAGCGTGTAAACAGCCGTGTTTACCGCCTCCGCCCAATGTGATATATCCAAATTTTTCGCACAAATCATTGTCCTCGCTGACTCTACTATTGTACGATTTTCCCGTTCCACTTTTCCATTTTGCTGTGGTGTGTAGGGAACTGTTAACTGATGTCGAATCCCGTGTTTTTGTAAAATACCCGTAATTTCTTTATTTACGAATTCTAATCCATTATCCGTTCGTAATATTTTGACCTTAGAACCTGTTTCTGTTTCAACACTTTTTATGAAAGTCTCAAAAATATTTTTAACATCATATTTATTTTTAATAAAATATACCGTTCTATAATGCGAGTAGTCGTCTTTGAATAACGAGAAGTATTTTGAACCACCTATAGAGCTTACCTCCATTGGTCCACATAGGTCTGCATGAATTAAATCACCGACATTTTGATACTCCGTATTACTTTTACTAAATG